TTTTTTGATCCTGGTTTTAGTTTTTTGTTTGATCTTTGTGGTTTAACTTTTTTTTGATCCTGATTTAATTTTTTTTGATCCCTCACCCATGTCGGTGATTCTGGTGGACCATGGATGGGCATCACTGACCTTCCCATGATGGAACGTTTTGCTGAAAATCTGGGGGTCTTGTGCGGTTCGGTCACCCGAGCCCGAGGTGCCGATCGGCAGCTTTGATGCGCGGGGCCGAGACGTCTCGGAATGGCAGCTTGGCTCACAGGCTGCCAGTCCAACCAAGGCCTTCAGCCCGTTGGACAACATCGCCGAGGAGGAAGAGATGAAGATACCCTGAGCACCTGCTGCAATTTTACATGCAGGTATGTCTAGCAGGCTGTCACGGAAGCATTAAGCTGTGACACATGACGCACGCACATTTTCAGGTTGTAGCAGGGATGGTGTTGTCGTTCGCTTTCGTGTGGTGTGTCGTAATGACCTTCGAGAAGGAGTCATTAAGTCTGTTTATTTTTGTTTCTGAAGCATCTCGCTCGACCCGGAAAGGGACTAAAGGGACTGACAGACGCTCAAGAACAGGCAGGCGCCTGTGCAACTTTGGAGCTGCTCTGCCTTCAGGTGCATACTTGCAAGCCACCTTGGAAGATGTTGGGTTGGCCAAGACGATTCTCCGGATACCAGCCGAGCGTCTCGGGCCAACGAACATCATCGAGCGTCGTCTGACGGATGCAGAAGCAGCACATGGCAGTGTAAATAATTCTCCTGCCTATGAGGGCCTATGAATGGCACACGTTGCATCTCCTGCTGAGGGTTCTTTCTGTGCGTACATTGAAAGGCGTGGCTTCCCCAAGTGCTTTGCAGGAACCCGGTAAAGAGAGCACCATGTAGTCACCTGGCACTTTGCAAACGAAGCACCTTGCTAGTGTCCGTTTCCCAGAATTACGGCGGGACCCTGCCACCCTGGCATGAACACGTTTGGTGAGGGAAGATGTGGTGAAGTTCACTGACTACCTCAAAGTTCGAACGTTACCAGCCTCATTACTACAGTCGGAGGAGCTGACAGGGAGGTGAACTTGCATGTTTCAGCTGGTGTTAGGCTCTTCTCGTTGGCAGGAACTGCTGGATCTCTTCTACCAGGAGCTTCGCAGCACTTTGGCCAGCAAGAGCCTCAGATCGCCGGAGACGTACTTCCGAACAACAACAGCTTCGAGACGACAAATTGCAGGTTGTTACCTGGATCGGATCTGCCCAACGTTGCAGGAGGCATCAGAGTGCAAACTTGGTTTGGCATTTGACGATTGATGACCGGAGGTTGAACATCGGTTCAAAACTCATCTGCCACCTGGGAGCCCGCATGAGCTGGATGTGGCCTTGGTGCTGCCAATGCTTGCGCGAAAAGTCCCAGACACGACTCTTGCTTCAAGTTTAGAATGACCTTGACTCTTCGTCGTCGCAACTTTGAAAGAGTGTGTCATGTTCCAGCCTGAAGGGCTGCGCAAGTCGTGAGCTTGGTAAGGGCGTGACTGGTATGATTCTTGTGCAGTCGGCAGGTTGTTGCCGAAATGATGGTCGGAATGTCTGTGTCGTAGCTTGTATTTTGACTGCTAGTTCCCCAAAAGTGTACAGTTCAGGGTATGTTGAACCTAAGGTCGAGGCAGCATGTCATATGTAACTTGTGTTGGATGCAGTGAAGTGAGTGGGGGGGGCGGGGGGGGGGCATGCAATGCGGCCAAGCAGATGGCCAAACGTTTGGCTGGATCCAGAGATTTGCATTCCGTGGGCAGGTATCACATCCTCCCTGCAGATGGGCGTGGGCGGCCGATCATGGTATTCTTCTCCGAGGCTCCGGGTCATGAAGGGAGAGAGAGGCCGAATGTGCAAGACGAAGGCGCCTTCCGGCTTCAAAGGCTTCCTGGACGTGGATTGCACGCTGCAAGGCCAGGAAGTCCTGTAGTGTGGTGTAGTCCTTAAGTCGCGCGATTCAGTCGGCCGGAGGTGATGGGGACTTCTCGCAGGAATCCTGGGAACAGCTTGACAAGGCCCTGACCGACTCTTTCCGAATCTCCTGCGACTTTCGCCACGCCGCCTTCGACGTCCGCTCGAAGGCGCACTTGGCAGTCGCACAGCATCAGAAACGAATCGGGAAAGTAACGAGTTACATTGGTAAGCTACCTTAGAGTAGCTTTCCTGTCGGACGACTGGTGTCCAGAAGTTGACCGGTTGCCAAGTACATGTCACTAGAAAGCAAGATATCCCGGACGGAGTTCACAATACAGCTGCAGAAACGATTGCTTCTGTTGCTTCAGTCGTTGATGCAGAAGAGCATGCAAAGGCTTCTAAGCTTCTCAGCATGCCGACATTGATGATGATGCTGCTCTTCGCCGCTCCGAGGTGCAGCACTTTAAAGACTGGCCACTTGCAGAGGCTCGGTGGGTCGAGACGGGGTTTCCTTTAGGAGATTGTACGTGGCCTGTAAACATGATAACACTGTCAGCCGTCAGAGCCGTCCCAGCAGGTGGAGCTCTTGCTCCATGCAGCCGTGGGGAAGAAGAAACTGGCTCCGTGGGAGGACATCGCCGAGCTGGTTTGTCCCTTGCTCAAGTTGTAAACGTGGAGGACCATCTTGGACCAGCGGAGCATGTCCACTCCCTCATTTTGGAGAGAGATACCAAGCAGTGGGAAGGACACAGTTCGGGCTCGGGGCTCGGGTGCCTTCTGGTTTCGACATGCTTCAATGTTCTCAGAGCTATGGTTCCGGGGCAGATGACAGATGTAAGAATAAAGTCTTGCATAAAGAGAGAGACCCGATGGAGGAACCCTGGGGCACAAGAAGAAGGAAAGCTGGACACATCCACAGAGGTGCCCTCCTGGCAATCCATATCTGTTGTTACGATTCCGATTTTGCCCCGGTGCAGGGGACAGAACGGCTATTCCAAGTTCCAGAGAACTTGGGAGGCGTACCAGCACTACGTAGCAGACAAGGACCACGAAGACGAAACACGCTGTTGCAGAAATTTCCGAGCAGCTTAATGCTCAAGATAAGGGATGGCAAGGATATTTCTACAAGAGTCATAGGCTGAACAGCGAGCGCTGGGAGGAGAGCTTGCAGATGGCGCAGCCGGGACATCCTGACAGAGATCAACACTGGCCCTCGCTGGGTCCTGCCAGGCCTGCCGCAGAACAGACTCACGCATGTTGGTGTTTAGGGCACGCACGATCTGGCATGCATGCATGCACTACAGATGTGTGTACGGGGCTATCTTTCAATGCCAGAGCCTAATGGAAGCATTTGCGTGAAGGCCGCAAGCACAGCGGGAGAGAAGGCTGGTTTCTCCTTGTGCGTTATGCCTGACCTTGTGTTTGCGCAGCTTCGCGCGGGACCCTGTCTGAAAGTTGGACGAGAATCACACTGAGAACAGCGTCCGCTGCTTGCTTCGACTAGGACGTCCGCGCCAGGCAGTTGAACCTGTCCCAGCAGCTCTATGGTGATGGCGCGAAAAACAGAGCAGAGAGCGTACGCAGCCATATTCTGAGCTGCTCTTGGGCTGCGGCTCGAGACGTTGCATTGAAAGGTGCGGCTTTTCGACTTGCCCTTACCAAGGCAATCGCAGCAGCAGCAGCGAAGCGAATTATCGGCTTTTGGGTCCAGTTCCGCCAGTTGAAATACCGGAGGACGCGGTTTTGAGGTTGGTGATGTGACTCATGCATGAATCTAGTTGTTGAGCACAGGCTTTCGGATTGCAATGTGCTTTCTGTGTTACAAGTAGAGAGTTTGTTTAGGGAGTGTTCTCCTGGTTCATCCAACTTTCTTCGACTGTGGCATGCTGGAATCAATATTTGTCTATCGTGCGAAAACCTGATGAAAATGATGCATTCTTTGATGGCGATCGGTGCGAGCAGCTCTGCGCTTCCACACAGGAGGCCCGCCTGCAGGTAGAGACCCTGGTGTGACTTGGCCCCCGAAGTAAATTCCAGTATCTCGTGCAACGGGCTCAAGCACCGCTCCATCGTCTCAGGTCGGCTTGTCCCGATGGGCTTCGATTCAAAACACTCAAGAAGGTGCTACATGCTTTCGAGGAGGCAGGCGGCCCAAGCTATGGGACACTCGGCATGTTTGGCAAGGCTTCCTGGAGCCAAGAGCAGTCTTGTCTTCTATCAAGCGGTGGCTCAGCACGTGTATCCATACACTGCCTCGTTCCTTTTTCCGGCGGCTGTGCGCACTTGTACATTGCGACAGAGTCTGTCACTGTCTTGCCACCAACGTGCAACCCATTTCTGGTTCAAAGCAGTTGCTGAACAGTTGTCAGCATCAAGCACGTCCAAACGAGCGCAGCATTCTGTGGTCAAAATCACGACCCCACTTGAGCAAGCTTTTTGGGATTCTTCCGCGTGCAAGCCAAAGCTCGCAGGCTCGATCTGCAGTTTGGGTATGCGGGCCACAGGGCAGAGATGTAAACAGCCAAGAAATACAGCGGACATTCTTTACATCTCGCTTGCGACTTCTGGCCTTCGCGCCCAATGGGTCCAGATGAGTATCGATCATGCCTTGGTGTCCTTGTCCTCTTCGATGGACAACCCGGATCATGTCGATGATGGGGAGACGGAGCTTGTGCTGCATCGTTCGTTTCTCAGTCACAGCTGACCAGTTGTTATGCAACTTTGACATGTGCTTGATGCTTTTGGCACCACAGCATGAAAGCATGTGCAGGCGAACAACATTCGCAGCCAACGAAGGCAGCTTCTCGGAGCTTGAACCGCACAGAGCTCGCGACCACACATGATGCTCGGGTCTGTTCCGGACTGTAGGCAACAGTGTCTGCAATGCGTGCGCAGGGGCAGCTGACCAAAGCGGCTCCGCCCGTCAGCTTGGCTTTCCTGAGCGACACAGACACGGCGCCTTCGAGACCTGGCAGTGACCAGCATGAGAGCATGTGACAGCAAGCCCGCTGGCCTCGTGCTCGTCAGAGGTTGACTGGCGAATTTCGCGCTTCGTGATGAATGACACAAAATCCAAGGACTTTTCAGCTTCCACCAGAAGTGCTGGTTGTGCTCTCACACACCCGCAGTTATTTTAAGCTGTGCTGTCAGCTGGATTTGAAGGCAGCCCCTGTCATGAATTCAGTAGCTCATGGTGCTCTCGGTTCATCTAGTTAAATGCTCCAGACTTCCTTCGCGACAGCATAGCCTAGGTTTCCTGCAAGCTGCGCAATGCCGAGTACAATCCGCGCAAAGACGTGAACAAGCTGTTCATCAGGCTCTTTCGTCCGGCAGCTTCAGCTCATGTATGGCATACTGGAGCCGTGAACTGCTGCGTGAAGGCCGGGGCACTCGGCTTGCCATTCTTGTGCAGGGCATTGCAGGGCCTTTGCACACTCTTCGGAGTTGTTGGAGTTCATTGGGAAATTGCAGAATTGTGGTCCTGGGCTGCATGAACAGGGCTCGGAGGAGGACGCCCGACAAGCAGCGAGGCGCATAACTCGCATGATCCAGCTGCTCAATCGCGATTTTGCATGTCTCCTCTGGCTTGCACTCAACCAAGATGACCTCCGCATGTCGCTTCTCTTCTGAGGAAATGTGGTTACTCCGCTCGCTGCGAGAAGTTCCGCCTGATAGCCCAGGCTGTCGTGACGGATCTTTGTTTTCCGGTTCGCTTGGAGGCGTTAGCCCAGAAGTGGCATCGCCATGTCTTGTATGAGCCGGAGGTATGTGCACTCGCGAAATTCTACTTAGAGCATCCTCGCTGCTGTGTTTCTGTGGCTTCCAGTGGCAAGGTTAGTGTGTTTGATGCTGCGACTCTCGAGGATGGCCGCGAGGCAATTCGGAAGGTGTACTTGGTTTTCAAAGAGTTTTCGTGCTGATGGGAAAAAAAAGCTTCTCAATTAACATCAATAGCTTCTGCATCTCTTGCAGGCCACAGCGCAACAGGAGTCTGTATCGGGGTTGGGTGCTTGCCAGCACCCTCCAAAACATGACTTTCTGTCCAAGGATTGTCGACCAGGTCTTGAACCCGAGCTTTCCCATGGGACTGGAAGAGCCACCACCTGGGCTGGAGAAGCCACCGCCGGGGCTGGAGGAGCCGCCGCCAGGGCTGGCGCTGCCGCAGGAGCAGTCTCGGCAGTCCAGAAGAGGGGCTTTCCTGGCAGCAGTTCTGATTCCACGCCTCAGGACGTCAATGCCCTGGCCTTTCAGTGAGTATGGCCCTTCAGCTTCGAATCGGCGGTTGTCAAAGCCTTATTTATGAAGCCGCCCTGAGCTATACGCATTGATTTCCGATCCAGAGCTGTGGGTTCTGTTAGGTTCTGTCCAAAACCCCATCAATAGAAGCAGCAGAGCGAAGTAGCAGAGAGATGTCCTTCTTCTGTGTGGCGCAAAGCCTTCTAGGCTGTCGCACACAGTCGAAGGGTTTGGAATGGAGCGCCTTTGCATGGCCCGGTGGAGACGCCAAAGCGAGAAGACGTATCTTCCGGGTCGGCCTTGTCGTATGTTTTGTAGCTTGCGGTGGTGCTTGAAGCTGCATCGGACCAATGAGTGCCGGCTCATGCCGCAATGCAGGGTGAGCCGCTCTCGAGTCGCAAGACAGGCTTTAGCTTGCCAAAAAGCTTATGTCGCATGTGTCGAACCTTTCGCCCGGAGCCAGGGAGTCTTCAAGGTGAGCCCTTAGAAAATTCGGTGGTGTCTATGGCAGGGAATCCTGGCAACTTCCGTTTTCGTTCATTTCTTGCTGAGCCCGAGGTCGAGGATCCCAGTCACCGAACTGGCCGTGGCCTGGCTTCGCTAACTTCCATGCTTGACCATGCTACTCGTACTATGCGCGCACCGAGGACGGTGAAATTCTCTCTTGCGAGGCGGCTGACAAAGGGTTGAACCTCTGTTTTGGACATGTTTCACATGACCCGACCACCTTTAGAATCTGAGACCGGGCTCCAGTCAGCACAGGCATTCCCGAGCATGCTGCCCTGCTCGCAGGGTGCTACTTTGCGGGTTCTGCACACACCAGGCTCAGCACTCAGCTTTGCATCCTAGCCGTTGACATTTGGGGTTGTGCTTCTCAACGCCTCAGGCCATGCAAACGACCATGTTTGCTTGTTTTTGGAGGACTTTGCCGTTCGCCATCCCATCGTTCATGTACTTCGATGATGGTTGCAAGATGAAGCGAGGAGGAACGGGCCCTGTTCACTGGCGACAATGTGTTCCTCAGTGGCACTCCTAAAGCTCTGTTTTGGCTCCGGACCTCCGCCTGCTGAGGCTCGGTTGGGGAACCGGAACATTCCAGGCCCTTGCGATCCAAGACCCGATGCTGACAGCGAAGCGCTTTTGCCAAGCTTTCTGTGCAGGATCTGCAGCAGTACATGCGATCTCTGAAACTGATGGCCTCACAGGCCGGCATATCTGTGCTCTCAAACTTCGTGCAATTTTAACGGAATGTCAAGTTAACATGGTTGAAGACTCGGATGTCCACCACAAAGCTTGGTTTAGTCTCGGTGCATGCAGGCTCCAGATGTTCTGTATCCTGCCCATGGGCCAGTGCCCTACCAAAGTTGTATCCCAACACAAGCAAGGCAAGCTGAGAAAGTGAGCGCCCAGGCCCGTGGTTTCTGGCACTTCAGAGGCAGCTGCCTGGCTTGTGGCCTCAGCATCCTACTTTGCCGAAGTGGAGTCTGTTTCTGCACGTCGGCCCAGCCTTCGCCCGTCATGAGGTTGCAGATGTACATCACCCATCGTGAGGATCGAATCCGACAGGTTGAGAATGTGCGGACACCTAGCCTTTCGCATTGCGGCAGCCACGCGCATTGTCGCACTTGGGTTTTGTCTGCAAAGCTTGCGCTCCAACAGAGGAGCTGCGAGCAGTGGATGTTGGCTTGGACTTGGTGGACCTCGTCAAGCGGGTGTACAAGGCTGGCAAGTCACGACCTCTTTGTGTTTTGGCCTCCTCGCGAGCCTTCACGAGGCGCAGCCAGAAGTGCTGCAGTCGGAGGGCCTGTTCAGGCTGTGTACATGCGAGCCGGTAGTGGAACTGGAGTCCATGCAGAGGGCAGACGCGTGCTGTTGCCAGGGGTGCTTGCCTCAACACGAAGGACCGATCCCCTGCTCTGCTGAATCAGCTTTGTGCCAGCTTCCATCGCGCATTCGTTATCGTTTTGTCTGCTGCATGCACAAGACGGCCCGGTCCGGACCCAGCACATGACGCGGCAGTAGCCGAGTCGAAGGCTTGTTGACATCCGGCGGCAGCTTGAGCTCAAGTCTGAGAAGCTGTCTTCCACGAAAACCGTCGAAACTTCAGAAGCCGAAATGCAAGGAGAACTGGATCCAGCCTGGGTTTGTTGGTCAGATAAAGCCATAGCTGCACCCAGCATGGGCGTGACCATGGACGAGAACGAGTCAGATCCGGAGCCTGAGCGGACCGCGGGCTTGGGAGGGTTTTTTTTGATGCCGTTGCCTTTCGTTGGATTTTATTGTCTAAAGTCTCGAGGTTTGTTACTGCAGGATATCGAAGGATGGTGCAGGTGCAGGCCACTGCTGCCAAATCCATGCCCGCCCATCCGCCGATGTTGCGCTGCGGACCTGTGAAGGAGCTTGCCGGAAGAGCCTGTTCGACTTTTGGTTGACAGAGAAGACCACCACATCGGTCGCTTGCAGGCCATTTGACTTTCCCAGGATGTGCAGCACATCAGTGGCAGTGAGACGAAGAGCACTGGGCAGCTTGCTTGGCCTGAGAGGTCTACAGCTACGATCACGTTCCAGCCTTACGGCATGAGGGTTCTCAGTTGCTGCAACTGTTGCGCAGTGCCCCCGACATGATTGACTTGTTATCAGCGGCGCTCATGTTCCGTGCCTGGAAAATCCTCCTGGAAGAGACTTGAGGTCGGGCTGCTCTTCAAAATCTGCGAATTGCTGACCGGTCATGGCGTGGACATCTGTACCGTGCCAACACAGTCAGAAGAGACACAGGACTACATGTGTAGTTGTCAAAATTATGGTCCCTTTTGGGGTACCCTAAATAATAGGTGCCGTATTAAAATAAGGACCCAAAGAGGGACCATAATCTCGACAACCACCCACATGACGACACGTGCTTCTGCCTTGTGCAGCCTCTGCAAAGGCAGCGCAATCATCAATACGTCAGACAACGGCATTGCATCTGTTCTGCATGTATTGGATGTGGTCGACGTCTCCTGAATTGATTCAATCCTTCACGTTGAAGCCTTGGAGGTCATCTTGTTGGAGTAGTTGCAACCGGCATGACCTGTTTTTAGCTTTTGTGGCCTTTATGATGGTTGTGTGTCGTTGTGGTTGTTACGTTGTTCGCCGCAGCTGCTGATTCTCCTTCTGGTGCTGGTGTCTTTCCTGGGTGTCTCGGCACCTGGTACGCATCAATACTCGAAGGTCTACAATGAGTTCGAGGTGCGCATCGCTCGCCCGGCGGATACTGTGGGCGTGATGGACTGGCGCCCGATCAAAATAGATTATAGGAAAAGGGAAGCTTGACGGCCTCGCTTATCCCTTGCGATTTTGTTTCGATTTCGAAACCTCCCGGTACCGAGGTTTAGTCGTATTGACTCTGGAATCGTAAGACTCCATCAGAAAGGCTTCCATTGTTTGCTCGATGTTGCAGTGACCTTGTCAAACTCCCCTGCTGGCCAGCCATGCGACTCAGGTGCCGTGAGTTGGAGGAGATGTTGGAGAAGACCCGAGGCACGGTGACGCACGGCGTTGATTGCTCAGGATTGCCTGACAGCTGAGTTCGTGCAGTTAAAGTCTTGTTGAGAAAGCCGGGATGTTGCAAGTTTTACTTCTGCTGCCCGGCTTCCCGCAATTTTGTTCCGAATGTCGAGTGGCTGTAGCGTTTATTCGGTTATCAGTTGAACGTCCCGCCCTTTCGTCGACTTGTTTGTTGGTATCCTGAATGTCTTGAAACGGACCGGTTTTGTTCCCTTGTGAAGCCGAATGAGACGGCTTCAGGCATACCACGATCTTCGACACTTTATCGTACTCCACATGCTGGGAACAAGGATAGTTTTTTCATGGCTGCCTTTCCTAATTAATGCTTCGAGTAATTTCACAACACCCGATCTGCGCAGTGGTGGCATTGTCATCGAATTTCGTATTCTTGTCATAGTTTGTATCCTTCTCGAAGTTGGATTTACTGTGTTTTGTTGTTAGTCTCGGTGGTGCTGCTAGTGGTGCTGTTGATGCTAGTTGTAGGTCCTGCCTTCGACAACTCCCTCGTCGCCGTTTCCAAGCGCCTCTCGGTGAATCCTGACCTGGTGAGTGCTGCTTGGATGCATTGGCATGAAGCGATTGCTCCTCCAGAATCCTCCTGCATCTGATACTCAGACGTTTAGGTGCCGGCAGTGCAAGTCAATTCGCGAACAATCGATGAGAGTGGGACTGATTGAAGAATACATGCAATCTTTGCAGGCTGTATTGGGGAAATTTACAGGCTTAGTCCGTTCAGGACTTTGTAGCTTGTTACGAGCAATGGAATCGGGAGGTTGTGACCTTCAAGGAAGTTCAAGCCAGCAGCGAGCCAAAGCCTCAGCAGCCGGGGAAGTTGTGAGGAAGGGAGAGGTGTTTCTGCACAGGGAGGGGCCCCGCAAGTGAAGAAGCTTGATGAGACAGCCTCATTGAATCGGCAGAATTTGTCACCATCGTCAGTGAGCGACGTGCAGCCACTTCATGTCAGTGGGTTGCCGGTTGCAGCATCGCGACAGCGACTGTCGCTGCTGTTGCTGCTGCTTCTTTTCCTATACTGCGGATTCTGTCCGTCCGGCGACGACCGTGAGGGCTAGTCCAGTACTACAACTACTACTACTACTACTAGTACTACTACTACTACTACTCCTGCTACTACTGCTGCTGCTGCTGCTACTACTACTACTACTACTACTACTACTACACTACTACACTACTACTACTACATCTCTACTACTACTACTACTACTACTACTACTACTACAACACTACTACTACCAGTACTACTACACTACTACTACTGCTACTACTGCTACTACTGCTACTACTGCTACTACTGCTACTACTACTACTACTACTACTACTACTACTACTACCACAACTACTACTTATTTCTATTTCTACTTCTGGGCTACTGCCGTGGCAGCTGCCCCTGTCACTGCTTCGTCTACGAGATTTCATTTGAGTGCAGCTCAAGCCACGAGTACGTTGTCTGATGGTGCTTGTTTTGATGGCCAAGGCGTGAGCTTCGTTACCACCTGGTGCTGGAAGGGATCAATCAGGTGACTGGTCCTGTTTCTGTTTTGAGGTCATGTATCTCGGGTTCGATTTTGTGTTTCAGCCTACGTGGATGACAGCCATGTCGGTGGAGTCGGACTTCCCAACCGCAAGACAATACGAGAAGCCGCAGTAGCTACGTTTGCCCGTCTCTTAGGCTATCAAGCAGCTATCGCCGAGAGAAGTACAGCAAAAATCCGCAGCCCGTAACATGAGCCGCAAACTCTGCCCGGGTGTGGCTTACCCTGACTCTGAGGCCGGCTTGCTAACCTACACCGCGCTGGTACTCTTTCGCTGTGGCTTCAGCAACTGGGCTCTGTAAGGTCTCAGATACGGTGACATCCAAGGGCAGGCGGCTCCCAGCATTTTATCTGGGGCTGCGGACCGGCTGCGGGGTACGAAGCCCTTTTACCTGCTCCGGGAAGTCGCGGTGCATGTGCTCGAGGTATCCTTCATGCGACGATCTCGACAAGTGAGGCCTGTTTGCGGGGATGCATGAAGATGCAATTAGCGGAACCGCATCGCCTAGCAGCTTGATTCTGTGCAGGGACATATCGTGGACACCTTCGATCTCTCCACAAAGTCAGCAGAGGCTGAAAGCCTTCTTCGCTCCTATTTGGACGTGCCGAACGGCGGAGGCCGGTCTGCATCAAAGTACACATCGGCGGCACAAGACACTGGGTGCTTGCGATCCTGTGACTTTCAGTAAATGTAGAAGTCGACTTCTTACGCATCGATGTGCAACATTGCCCTGTGAGAGAGCTTTGGCAAGGTGGCGGTGGCACCGGCAAGGACCCTGCCGCAGCATGCATAGCCTTCTCTGCACTGCAGCTTCTCCAGCCTCCGGGTGTCTGGCAAGGAGACGACCCCCCTGCCCTTCCACGCGATCGAGTCGGATCCAGATATGCAGGCTCACGTGCAAAGCTGCTGCTTTTATCTAAACCCCTATAAGCATGCGCACTGCATTGCTCATGCAACTGGCACGCCACATGCCGCTGCAGTGCACGTCCGGCAGCATGCCTGCGTCGCTCAGCGGCTCAATTCAGTCACAAACTCACATGCACATGTAGCGTGTCACTCGTCGAGGTTTGGTCAGTCTGGTCTAAGGCAGTCTAAGGCAGCTATGCAAGTCCAAGGGTATCATCGTTCCAGAGAGGTAGATGTCCATGCAGGGATTGCGGTCCCCCTGTTTGTTAAGTCGTCGGTCCAGCGGGCTCCAACTGTGCCAGCTCTGTTGTGATGGCCAGCCATGAGCTACGGCCGGCTGCATGTTCCGATCGTGTGCCTCGGCAGATGCCGACTTTGTCCCAGTGAACGGTGAGTTTTATTGAGTTTTGGTTCGGAAGTTTGGCTCTCGAGAATGATGATGCCTCTTACAATCATAGAAGAGGTTGGGCTCACTGCGGGATCGCTGGTGCGTGGCGCTGAAGCCTCCCGGCTTTGCTGCTGCAGCCGCCCATCCCACGCCCTCTTTGGAAGCCACGCTGAAGCCTTTCCTTCGGCGGGAGCGCATCTTGACACTTTTTCATTCCCAGCCTTGTGTATGGCGGCAATGAATCCGCCTTAGGTTCTATCTCGTTCCCTATCAGACCCCAGAAGGATGCGGAGGGGCTGGCCTTTGTGCAGGTCCCAGCTACTCGCAGCAGCTCTCCCTCTCCTTTCGACTCATGAGCACCTGTGGAAGCAAGGTGACGACGGATGATGGGATGCGCAAGTGGATCGACGAGATGTTGATGCTGGGCGGAATAAAGCCTACATGAGCATAGTTGATGCCGCCGATGCAAGTTGATGCCGCCGATGCTCTTCTGCAGCTCCCCAGGCGACG